TGTTTCCCGCCAATTTGAACTCCTTGCCTTCGACACGGTTCTCCTCCTCCCGCCAACGCAGCTTGTTTCCCGCCAACTCCTTGCCTTCGACACGGCCCTCCTCCTCCTCCTCCGCTTCCCCCCACCTTACCTGGTCGCGCGCCCCCACGCGCTCTCCGCTACCATCCTGCCCGCCGAATCCCCCAGTCCGTCCTCCCATCGTCCGAATGCGCTGCCTCCCCTTCTCTGCGCCACAGATTCTTCCCCCCCCCCTGCGATCCCCGTCATCACCCACCCCTTCACTCCTCATTGGCCATAACTGGGACACCAACAAGCCTGTCATGAGTGGTGTCAGCGTTCCGCGGTGAAACCCGTGCCATCCCACCCCGCGCACCGCATCCACCGCTCCGCTTCCCCCGCAATCCCCGCCCCCCCCATGCCTATTCCCCCAGATCCTTGTTGCGCCTGTCATCAACCCTCGTTTTCCCGATTTCGCCGCAGTCAGACGCTCCGCGAGTAGCTGCGGCGGCGGATTCGCCGCCGTTAGACGCTCCGAGAGTCGCCGTTGCGGATGCGCTGTTGTTGCGAGTGTCGCGCATGCGCCGCCAATGAATGCCTGCCGGGCTGGCAATCCACATAACGCCGTAATCGCCATCGCCACCGCCCGGGCCAAACGACCCTCCAGCCAAAAAACGACCCCGGTCATGCTACCGTAGGCGCTTAATGGCCCTAATGACCTTTGGCCGAAGAGGATGATGAGGATTCCGCCAGCTTCCGCGACATGCCCTCCACAAAAAGGTAGCCCGAGAATAGCACGATGGCGATACCCATGCCGGGCAACGCCTTTCTCCCCTGTCGGGATAGCATCGGATGCCGACGCCACGTGTCGGTCGCGCGAAAAGAGTTCTCCGTAGCCGATCCCCCGTTCCCCGCCATCAAGGTCCCGACCCGGACGACAGCTGGCACCCCACTTTTCGGCCCCCTCCTCCCCCCTCTGTCGTCCCACGTGTCACACGCAGGCACCACGACCCTACCTTACCTGTCTCTGGCGCGCGCGAGAGAACACCCACCCTCTTCACTCTCGCCCGCCAGCGCGCGCGTGCAAGCCACACACACACACACCCTGCCGTCCTACGACCACGCTTGAAAAACACGCACACACACACCCTGCCGTCTTCCAACCAGGCATGCACGCAACAACACCCTTCTCTCTTACGACGGCGCGAAGGACGCGGGCAGAAAACTACACCATAGCCACGTCGCTCTGCACAAGTCACCTCCTCTTCCCGTCGCCGCCGACTCCGTCGTTGTTTCCTGGTTCAATGCTCTGCGAGGATAAAGAAAGAGAACCAATTACCAGAGGGCCGAGAGCTCAGTTGGCACACCCATGAACTGTTGAAATATACAGGCCAGAGTTCGAATCCAGCAGATACTACCAGATCAACAGAACGAAAGCATTCTGACTTGCCTGGGCCCGGTCAGTTCCCGGTCAGTTCCATGATGATTTTTTGAAGCGGTCGTCCATGCAAAAAAAAAAAAAAAGAAAAAAGAAAAGAGAAGGAGAAAGAACCAATTGATGAAAGGAAGCGAACTGAGCTGAGAGATTCGATTCGTTGGCTTGAGAAGCGTTTTTGTTTTTGTTTTTTTTTCCCTGTGCGAGGCCACTGCCTCTATGAGCCCCATAAAGCCCCATTTTGCAGCCCGTCGGCCGCCCTAATTGAAGGCAGGCTCGACGAGGCCCTCAGGGCCCTATTCTGGCCACCACGCAACTCAAGGAAATTCAGGCAGTTGCGTAGCGCCAGTTGCTTGAGTGAACCCAGGCCCTGGGCCTCCTGTGTGAATGTATGTGAAGCAGGCCCTCGGCTGGATACGGGTACTGGGCCAAACACAGGCCAAAGGCAGTTGGGCACATGCAACCACCTCAGGCCCAAGGCCTGTACTCGTCGTGCTGGGCCTCAGGCTACCGGGGCCTACTGGAAGCTTCCTGGGACTGGACGCAGGCAGGCCACTTCTATATAGCAAAGGGCCTCCCTCTGCATTCAGCATTCTGGTGCTGGCTGCATGCTGCGCTATTTGCTGGCTGGCGCCTACGCTCTCACGGGCGAGCAGGGAAGGAGCACGCAGCCATAGCCGAGCTGCGCTGCTGTAAGCTGGGTGAGGCACAGGGTGGTCCTTGGGTGCTAGTGGCATCTGTGTGTTGGGGAACGAGGTTGTGAGTGTGGCGAGAGACATACCTGGTGCTGGAAGCGTGCGACATTGGTCGCCATATGCTCGTACTTCGGGAAAGCTGTTGACGTCATCTTTCGGCATCGTAGTATAGGCTAGATAGGATCTGCCACATGTAGTCTGGGCGCCAAGCGCCAGATAGGATATCAACTCTGGTTCTTCGTTGATGATGATGGGATTATTTCAGCATTGTCAATTATGAATTCTTGGTGTGTTCTTATTTGGTGAATCTCGTGATGCAATTCTGTTGTTGGTTCGAGGTCACGACTATCGGGACTCATATGTATGGTGTTGTTTGATTGCTGAAGTTCGCTATTGCTCATCTTCCTTGCAATTTGGTATCGGAGCTGTGGTACGATTGCGCTCATCTGGCGCTTGTCTTCTGCCTTATGCGGTACATACATGCGGTCTTGGTCGTAAGTGGTGTGTAGTGAGGAGGGTGGAGACGAGTGTAGTGGCGACCCAGGAGGTGAGGGGATTGCCAGGAAGGCTACGTGAGGTGTAAAGTAGTCTGGACAGTGTGATGAGAACTATCTAATGTGCGATTGATGCTGAGGTGGAACGGCGACATAATACTGGTTGTGCCGATGCAGAAACTGGTCATCGCAATCTCCATCAGGTCATCTGGTAAGATTATCTCTGTGGTTGGGGGCAGCTATTTGAGGTACGTTGCTCTTAACCTTATCTACCCTCTTCGACACTACTTACCGTGAGGTTGTGTGTTCCTTCTTGAGAGTCCTCTCATTGTGAGGTGTCGAGTACGCTCAACCTTGAGAGTCGGCAATGTTCACGTGGAGCATCTGGGAGATGATGGGCGGAGCTTTCTAAAGGGCCCTGGACGAAGCACTGGGTCACGGTCACCATGCCAACCCACCGAGAGTAGAGCACGCATGCTTTGCTGTTTGTCCTTTGTTTGGCTTGCTGCGCTGTTAGATGGGTACTGAAGGGCAGGCCAGCCCTTAAGGGAGACGAGACCGGGAGTCTTTAAATAGGCGCCAGAAGGGGAACCATTGGCTGCGATCGTCGTCCGGCTGCGACATAAAATAATTCCTGGAGTCACTTGGGGGCGGACGTTAAATTGCCTCTGGACCAGCCAATGGTTGTAAGGCTCGCTGCACGCGAGGATAATCCAGTGCAGGGCTGGCCAGCTCAACAGATACTCGGGGCACAAGGGTGGGCCGAACACACACCTTTAGACACATGACGCTCTCCAGATTGCTCAAGGACGCTGACGTCAAGTGATACTCAGGGGAACTAAGGGAGGGGTTGATTCCAGGTGATAAGTTGGAGAAAATTCCATGCTGTCCTATCCACACAAATGATTCTATTTTTATGTTTTGATTAGTTACTAGGTGTACAGCCATTGACATTTGACAGACAACATTAGTTAGAACTGCTTCTTGTTCATGGTGCTTCTCTTTGCGGACTATCAAACTAAAAATAGTTTCGTTTGTAAGAATCTAACTTACCTGTTAACCTCAAGTGATATCTGTTCCAAAATAGCAACCCCCTAATTAGTTGGTCTGTGCACTACGCTGCAGTAAGCATCTAGAGTGCATTAGTGCAGATTGTGTACAGTGCTGTAACTTATGAGCGATAGGGAGGAACAGCAACCGGACGACCGGATCTTGCGATCGGCAAGGCGCCAAGTAGCCTTCTTGGCATTAGGACCAGAGGGCGACAAACATTTGTTCCGCCAGCTTAGGGAGAGGCAGCAGCAGCAGAGCAAACAACCATTTCGTCAAAACGAACATGTTATATTTTTTGAACGAAATCAAAACTGACTTTTTTTTTCAAAATCCGGTCGGAATTTTTTTCTCCCGAGAGTCCGGCGTTCCCAAAACGCCGGACCCCCTACATGTATCTGGTCTATGGTTGAGACCAGATTTTTTT